GAAAATCAAGGCCGGACTTTGAGGTAGGCTACAATTAGTTTTGATATTCTTAATTGCAAATTTGTCTCCTGCCTTGATGACTTATGGCCTTGGGAATGAACACTCTTGTGCCTAATTTTGAACTCTATTGAAGGCAACATGGACAGCATTTACAAGTTACTGGTGTGCTACAACAGGACAAATTATGCCGCTGAACAAGTTGTGCCTTTTGGATCCGGTAACCGGGTCTATAGCGATAGCCTTGTTAGTTTTGTCCGTAAGTTCAAGCATTTTGTTAATTTATTGGTCACATATGTATGGATTCTGCAAATTTTTATGCTGATCTCGAGATTACATGGTGCGTGTGCTGCTTGATCAGTCGCTATGGGAGACGTCAATCAATTTGCCGCCAAATCACGGTGTCCTCGGCCTCCTTTTGGCTATCATCATGGGCTTTTGCATTCCCTTTGCCCTTGCTGCCGTCTGTGGATTGGGTTTTCGAGCCTTGGAATCATCCTTTTTCAATGCAGCTCTTCTCAATGCAACTCAGAGGGCACACGGTGGGCATTCCCTTCCTCCAATCTACATCCAGTGCCTTTTCTTTCTTTTAACAATACTTTTTTATTGCTGCGCAACATTTACCATCACTCTTATGCTTAAGTAAGTCAACAGAGCACAAATACACGCTCAGTGACTCAAACAATCACCAAGATGCAGATCTTTTGTATCAAAGGCGATAAGATACATTGTAAAAGTTGTTACCTTGGGATTTTGGGGCATGTAACCTGGAGAGGCGCTTGAGCAAACCAGTTCAACACATTCTTATTCTCATAAAATGGCCAAAAAAACTATGTCAGCAAGTAGCTTTGTTAAGTTTGTTAGAATCGCCTTTCTTTTACACAAGGCAGCGTTCATTTGTGGCTAGCAGGGAATGATGGAGTAGACCTTCTCACCTCGGGTCTTGCAGCAAAGTACGATTGGCAAAGTTGGGTGACGACTTTTCTGCTCTAAATTGTCCATCTCAGTTTGACCTCCTTTTTTTACAGGTCTGGTGATTTTCTCCGCTCCGATACACATTCTGGGCAAAAGCGGGATCTGGATCATTTTCATTGTCATTCTTTTACTCATTGTCACCTCGTGTATGTTTACCATTGTTGGCGCTTCGTCCATTCTGCATCACGATGTCCTCGCTACGTACATTCGAGTGAGTGACGTCCCAAGTAAAGGCTCATGTTTGCCTTAACCTTCGGACAATTCGACTAAAAATGCTCACTGGCACAGAAGGTGTCGCCTTACAAATAAGCCATGCATCGCTTCCTTTCAATGCCAACTCATCATCTCATCTCTAATGCTTACTTGAATTTGTGCACCGTTGCAGAGCATGGACGGATGCGAGTTAAACGCGTTCAACTTGTGCACGATAATACGGTGCTTTCGCAGTAGTTATGCCGATCAACTGGCTCAGTACAGGCAAAATAATGCATTATTATTAGGCGGTGTTAGCGGCTTTCCTTCATGGTGAAGCAACAATGTAGCAGCAGTAGCAGCAGTCATCCCTCTCATGGGTGACACAATCATCCAAAGCTGCTAGCACTTCACTGCAAGTCAGTTAATTTGTCCAACAGCGCAGATTAGATTGTCGACAGCAGCATTTCAACCTTCCGAGTCCCCATTGCTAATCGAATACAATCTCGGATTGTATTTACAAGTTTTTTTATGAAAATGTGAAAAATGTAAAGCCACTTTGATGAAATTTTCTTCCCCTGCTTCAGACACTGCAGCTGAAGTTGCAATAGCATGGCAGTGTCTGAAGGCTTGGCGTGATCAACTGTAATATACCATTTATTTTTTGTTTTCTTCGCTTGAGCCCTTCAAGAAACACGCGGACAAGGCAAAGTGCCTTCTTTGTGGGAAGCGACGTGGTCACCTCGCAAGTCGACGCAACATCTGCCGCTGTCGCAGTATGCTCGAGTGTGCGGCATGTCACACCGACACGTGGTACGGCGGTTGTCTAGGCAATCCATTCTTTACCATTGACGCCTTATGCTTGTTTGTAATTCCGTTAAACAAAGTCCTGCAATCGGGTGCTTTGTTGTCCCCACGCGCACGTGATTATCGCGAGCCAAAGTTGGTAAGTGTGAAGGCAGCATGGCGGGCAGCTTATGTCTCAAGAGGACACACCTTCAGCAGTCAGACGAAGGCAGGCAGACTACAAAGCCACGTATTGTTAAAATGTTGATGGACTGGTTGTTTTATCAAAGTTGGTGTGGGATAGAAAGTATGGGAAGCCTTAAAACGACTTTAAAGAAGCCTGTTTACCAGGTTAAAAATATTATTTTTTTACGCGTAAATCCTTTGATGGAATCGCACACGTCCTATTTGATCAGGACATTCTTAAGACGCGGTTTCCACCTGAACTGGAGGCAGCCCCTAGCCAACTTAACTTCTTTTGGCAGGTTCAGACGCGAATGCAAGAACAGACCGACCACAACGCTTGTGTACGGCTGCAAGACACACGGCGCCTACCGCGCCTACATGGACGAGATGTCGAAAAACGTGCTTCAAATCTCCTTCATTTTGATGGCGGGCATGATACCACTCTTCATTATCTTTGCTGAATCAACGGTATGATGTAAACCCCATTTATTTAGCGCACTACAGTCCAGTCACCAGAATTGCTACTACCCAAACATCAAACCTACTTTTGACTGCACCTCAGTGGCAGACAAAACACACAGGCAGTCGGTGTGTGTCCCCTCCGCCTTAATTAATCACTCACTTAAGTGAAATGGGTTAAATGACTAGATTGACAAGTTGATTCGTGCAACAGCCAACAAGCTGTGTCAGGCATAACGAAACACCGGTCTGAGCGAGGCAAATTTCGAGTATGGCAAGAACGGGCAATTAGGAGGCGTCATCACTGCCGCAAACCTTCTGCAACGAGCCTCACATTGACGCCAAACAATGCAATTTTTTGCAAGGATTCTGACTTGTGGACACGTGGTCTTGGTTATGGAGAAAGTGAACAAACTTTTGGGCCCCTGAAAAGCAGTTTTCATGGGATGTGCTTTCCTGTTCCTTATCAAAATGGCAACCTTTTATGCGTGAAGACAGGTTAAATGCCACTACAATGTAATCCCCCTTTCATTCCACCAAATCCATATTGCCTCAGACATTGGCAGGGTTGTGATAGTTTGAAACCGACGTGTTAAGAACGAGCCGCACCAGTGCTCACTCCAAACATTTATCCAAGAAACGTGGCTGTACGAGGCATCAGAAGTGAGAGACAAAAGTCTGAAATAAGTTCAAATTCTTGTCCACTATTTTAAGCTCCGTGTCAAAGGAATGCAAATCTTTAGCTTGTCTGCTGACTGAGGAACTGATCAACCGTTCGTCCGGCCGAGGAACTGCACTCGTAAAGATGTGTGGATTCTGTGGAGTAAAGCTGCGTGCCTATCGCTTATCTTCCCCTCACGGGGTTTGACTAAGCAAAACCACCTCATAGAGGTCACAATTTTTTTCTTAAAGGACAGTTAATAGCAACAACAAATTGTAGTGAAATTTTAAGCGTGCTACTACGACTCTCTGCCACAAAGTAGCTAACAAATAAGGTCAAAGGGGCGTGTTTGTACTGCGTTGAGGTCCCAGCCCTTTGAACTTTGCATATTTTTTTATTGGGGGCAAAAAAGTCAGGCTAAATTTCTTTTCTACTTCCTTTTGCGTTTTAGCTTACGAACTTTCTGTACTACGGTCTCTGCACCCCCTTTGTGGGATGCCTTTGTCTCAGCATTCTCTGGGCACGTCTCTCCAAAGTTGCATTACTAAGTGGCTACTTTGTCAGCGCAGGAGCCTCCCTCACTCTCTGGCTTTTGCTTGAATGCACGTTCTTCGTAGGTGTGTAGCAAATTGCTCATGCCAAGTTTGCATTCGTCGCTGACCACTATTGTGACCACTACAGTCAAGGGATGGTTCATGCCTAAACCTCTACAGGGGTGCACGCAATCGACTTTGACAAAAAATAATCCGTTTTGTTTGGGCATTTGCGTATTTTAATTCAAATGTTATGGACGTAGAAAAGGTGACGTGAAGCAAAATCGGTTGAGGGTCTTGGAATTTGCTTTGTAATGACTGCTAAAATGCATGCACAATGGGAACTTCGAGGTAGTCACTACTGAGTGGCTAAGCACTCTTTATTTCCAACATACGACTTGTTTCACCTTTAATAACAATTAGGTAGCGAAGGAGCGCAGCTGATTGGACTGACAGTGGCGTTTCTTGGTGGCTTTCTGCTGCCTGTACTGATCACTTTTCTCCACACTAAACCCCTTCAAGCTGAGGCGATGCTCAGTGTGTGGAGCTCTGTGCAGGAGATCGACAATCCCCTTGTACCCTGGCCTGAGGTCTTTACACGGTAGGTCGTCATGTCAACTGCTGGACAATTGTACTTTGCATACCGAAGCATTTGTATGCCACTTTTTACCATTTTATTGTCCCATCGGACTCTCAACAATGTCCAATGGGCAGACAAACAGATCTGCGGTTCTCCCCACGCCTAAGCGAGAAGAAGCCCGCCCTGTCGGAGGTGCGCAGAGCTCTGGCGCCACTGCGTCGTTTGACTTGGAAACTAATCACTTTCAACCTCATCACATTTGTTGGAATTTGGCAAGTACTGGGACATACCGCGCAGTCACTCGACTTTGACAGCTTCTTCTTCTATGTATGCGTCATTTGTGTTACGAGAGGTTGTGCATCCACTAATGGGTGACGACCAAGTAGTGTCCACGAATTTCTGTAAGTCATCAGATTAGAGCCTTTGGGATTCAGACCGTCAAATATCAGTAAGCTGCTTCCACCTGTGCCCTTATTTCCCAAACAAACCTGCAAAATGCGACTCGTTTAGTCAGTTTGAACTTTAATGTTTTACTGACTTTGGTTATGCGTGTGGCTCAAGCTGACCTTCAAGCACACCTCTTTCCGAAAGGTGGAATCCATTGAGATCTGGACCTATCTATCCACGCTCTTCTGCCTTGCCTTCCCTCTAATTCTGCTTGTGTCGCGTCGAGGGTCAAAGTTGAGGCGCCTAATTCACAGGCTCAAGGTGGCGATAAGGTAGTGCCGAGTCGCAGTCGAAACCAACTTTTGTCAAACCAATTTCGAGTGGTTTGTGATCTTTTTTTGTAACTTTATGCACTTTTCCATGCCCGCAACTGTCTACATTAACATCCTTGCACTCAGACGCGTGGAACATTGTCAGATTTGCTATTAACAATTACTGTTTGCAGGACACTCCGTTTCATTTTTTTTAGGTATTGGCTACCTAAACTTTGTCGCAAAAGTGAACATCAACAGTAGACGTCAGCAGAAGGGAAACACTTCTTTCAACACATCGTCTGCGAAGACGTTATTCAATCACGACACATGACATGCTCAATGATGGACCATGAAAGGCATCATCTTATGTTTCGTACACTAGAATGCAAAAACGAGAAGCATTTGAAGCCTGCTTCGTTATAATAAACTTCTGTGGACTTGTTCAGCTCGAACCAACTAAGTAGTGGCCTGTAGACTTTGGGTCCCTCCTCACCCTCAAGTCCGACATCTTCTGTGTGATGCACGCGAAACGGTGTTGCAAGAAGCAGGTGAAAATTGTGCTGCTCATTGACTAGGATTCGCCTCCTGGAAGGCGACACCTGCAACTACGAGCACTCGAAGTTCCAGGTTTGTAGGTGGTTGTGGAGACGGTAATCGTGTGCTGCTCCACACTGTGCCCTGAGGTCATAAGTGGTGCAGTGAAAGTGCCCTTACGATCGACCTTTTGAGAGTGCCACAACTAATGGCATTTAAAGGTTTCCGCCACGCTTCAAAGAATTAACTCCGGTCCGGCAAGAACAGCGTCACTGGCCTTGTTTATGCCTTCAACTGAGTGGATCTTTAGTGGTGAATGCGTAGTAAAAATGTCGTTGCTGAAGCAAAACCACTTCAAATGGCACATTGTATACGAGCCTGATGTTGCCAGATTTGTTAACAGCGCGCCTGTGGAGGTGACAACTGGTATTTTTTCGACCAAAGGACGTGCAACGATGGAGTGACTACATGTGCGAATGCAACATACCGATTGTATAATTTTTATTTCTCGCTAAGGTGTAGTGGCTTGAAGGACCGTGGAATTGCTGGAAGTCACAAATCAAATGAAGTAGATTTGCAGACAGAGTTAATGCAAGGTTACAGTGCTGCTACCTTCCACCACGATCCGAAATGGGTCGTAGAAGCACAAACTTCTCCAACTTTAGAAAATGGAAAGTCACAGACTTGGCAATGGTGTGCATGAGAATGACTCCTCCCCCGGCAGCATTCCTGACTCTGGGTTGTGAGACGTGGCGCTTTTCCACTGTCGTGTGCGCCATGAGGACCTAGAGCAGGGTCAGCCAGGCGTTTGGGGCCTGGTGAAGGCTTGATTGCGTCGATGACATTCAGTCAAGTTAGACATGTGG